ACAAGGAAATAATTGATTAATAATGTGCCACACTTTCTTTTTTCTTTTTTTTACCACGTAAGAAAAAACTGAGTCAAATCAGCTTTAAACTGTTACACTTATTTTTATTGATTGTGCATCAGATTTCAGACTGTCTGTCCAGATACACCAGAGATCCTCCAAGAAGGAGCGATACATGTTCCTGTCGTTGGTGTTTGTGCTTATTTTATCATCTGATAAATCACACCCGTAAAAGACTATCTAGCAACGGGATTTTTTAAACTTTAGCTTGTTGCTTATTGAATCTTGACAATTAAGGTTATTGAGAATGGCTGAGGGCTGCAGGGTGGTTCAGTGGTTAGCATCGTTGCCTCGCAGCTACAAGGTCGCTGGTTAGCATCCCAGTGAGGACACACAGGAATCTTTCAGTGTGGAGTCTCTGTGTTCTCCCCGTGCAGCGTTGGTTCTCTCCAGGTTCTCCGGCTTCCTCCCACAGTCCAAAAACATGTTGAGGTTAATTGGTGATTCTAATTTGTCTGTAGGTGTGAATGTGAGTGTGCTTGGTTGTCTGTCTCTAAGATAGACTGGCAATCTGTCCAGGGTGTCCCCTGTCTTCACCCTGAGTCAGCTGGGATAGACTCCAGCCCCCTACGACCCTAGTGAGGATTAAGCGGTGTATAGATAATGGATGGATGGAGAAAGGCTGAAGAATTTAACGTTGTCAGGCAGCAGTGGAAAAACTATATAGCTCCTTTGTGTAAAAACTCCCTGCAGTAAAAATCTTTTTCTTTTTTTTTTTTACCTTGCTGACATGTCCTTATGGCGTTTTGTGTGTTTGTTTTTTTTACTGTAGAAGACATATCATGAGCAAAATAAGCAGCCAAAGCCACAGCTGAACATTTCCATCTTGAAACTGCAGTGTACTGGTGGCAGTCTCAAAAACACAGATTCAGACTTCGAGGGTTTCACATGTCACAAAACTAAAGAACCAATCCTGTCAACCTGCAGGGTGGGATTCTCTGTATCTTTATTCTTGAGAAGCTGTTTCCGGTTTGCACATGTACGGCTGAATTACTCCAATATAACAACTTGAAATTGTGTAGTGTAGAGCAGCTTTACAGTGTTTGAGCAGAATCATAGGTGAGCTGGTGTGCTTGAGTGTTGATGGGTGAAAGAGGAGGCAGAGATCCTCACAATCTAGACGTAACAATGGTTTAGAGTCACATCTAAGCCAAATCTAAATACGTAACTTTGATACACTTTGCTTGAGCAGAATTATAGGTGAGCTGGTGTGCTTGAGCTGCAGAAAGTGGGGAGAAGGAAGTAGAAAAAGAGGCAGGGTATTCATAGATCTGCATATTTAAAGGAAGCAATGGTTTAGAATTGCATATAAACCAATCTAAGGCAGGAGAGGATTCAGTAAATGAAAAAAGCAGCTTTGATACACTGAGAAGAGCTTATAGTCTTATTATTCTACATTATTTTAATTTCTTTAAATGTGTTGTGCACATTTTCATTACAATATAGATTGATTTAGTATTACATGTATTGCTTTAATTTTTCATTTTGAAAGTCGAGCAACATCAGGCAAAGGGACTGCTGATGAAAATCTTGCAACTCAGGTACTTTTACATTTATTTGAATTTTACTTAATGTCCATCGTCCCTTTTCAAATAAATATAAGAAATATATTGTTAAATAGAAAAAGAATAATCCATAAATTGTACTATACTTTCGATAATAAAACAAATCTACAAGATAACAAGTAGCTGAAACTGTAAAATAAATGTAGTCAAAGAACAACATTTGCCTCCGAAACGTAGCGACACAGTGGCTGACAGTAGATGTACAGCAGAGTAACACGTACATTAAAACTGCACTCGAGTAAATGCACTCAGTTACATTCCACTGCTGTTTTCAGGAGCCTTGAAACGAATCTCTGAACACTCACTGAAAGCCTATCACAAACCTTTAAAAAGCTAGAAGCCTGATAAGTAACTGCCTGAGACATAAATACCAATATTTGCTCATTTGGATGAGTAAACCTGCAGTCAGAAAGAGAGAGAGAGAGAAAAAAAAGACCCACCACCGCTGACGTCAATAAAAAACTACGACAATAATGATGACTAAAAGATGCTGACAATACTGCTGCAGATGAAGGCGAGCGTAATGATTCACTGCCTTTCCTCTAAAATAGAAGCAGTCGGGCTATATTTGCCCTTGCGACCATGGTGACCACTGTCAAAATATGACATCAGAGGCTATGTACAAAGGAGCCAAGTCATGTGTACATGTGACATTTCCAGAGGCGCTGTGGAGTAAGACATCAAAGATTCAGAGAGAGGGAGGCAAATCCATCCATCTATCTATCCATCTATCTATCTATCTATCCATCTATCTATCTATCTATCTATCTATCTATCTATCTATCTATCTATCCATCTATCTATCTATCTATCTATCTATCTATCTATCTATCTATCTATTATCCATCTATCCATCTATCTATCTATCTATCTATCTATCTATCTATCTAGTATCCATCTATCCATCTATCTATGCAGCATGTGGCTCCAGCTGGCACCTGACAGGTAGCTCCACCTGATACCTCCTGTTATATCCAGGAAAACCGAACACGGCCTTTAAAAGAGGGTAAATCCCTGCGATAGTATCCACAGGAAGGAAGGAGGAAGTGGGGCAGAGTTTCACATGCCCGAAGCTTTGTCAAACTTTGTCAGTATATTGCTGTATGTGGGACATCGCTGGCACAGCTTGACTGAGAAAATGGGGCCACAAGAGCCGGTGGCAGCAACCTGAGAGGCAGCCAGAATGTAGGTTAACTATAAGTTATGTAACGTGGACTGTGGACTGCCAAACAGTTTGCTCTCGCTGTTGTCTGACTGCAGATAGGAGACAGGATCATTTGTCAGACACAGAATATGACAATGATAAAGAAAGCAGCTGTGATATAATCAATCTGCACTGGGGTGCAATTTGTCATTCCTTTACATGACATGTGAATGGCACTAAAAGAGAGAGGAAAAAGAAAAAAGGTGCAGAAATCAGGTCGTGAGTCTGGGTCAGTTTGATGGCTGCAGTGATACAGTGAATAAATACATTACATTGTGATTGCATGGCTGTGTATTTACCACTAAAAATAAACACTGCAGTGCCACTCTGCTCAAGTGAAGTATTAATTTTCCTCCGTGACTCGCCTCTTTCTCTGTCAGCGCTGCACTTAGTGTGTCCTGAAAAAGGCTGACACATTTAAGGCACCGCATGCAACCAAGTCACACTGTGCTCGGTAAGAGCCTGCAAAAGGAACAGGAAACTCCAACTGTATTGCACAAATGTATTTTTGTCCAGGCAGTGTGATTGTACTATAAATAGCCGCGAAGCCTCACGTAGCACTTTGATCATGCGTTATGAGTAAGTCACAGCAAGATCTGGACACGGGAGGATACACAGACTGGATGCACCTTCAGGCTGTAAAATCCACCGTATATCACACATACAGGCTCAGATCCGTTTTTAATAAAAGGTCAATCCTTGTTATTTATGTGCTGTTTCACTGTTTTAATCCACACTTGTCATCCCTGGTGTTTACTCCCCACGCAGGTCAGCAGAGGAGAAGCACACATGCAATGCGCTACAGTGACCCCAGTAAAAGTGGGTCACATTCTCGCAACACACTTCCAGTGAGGTCGAAACGAGCCGTCCCTCCTCTGGCCGCAGAATCTGGACCAAACAGATATTTAGGCATTAGTTTTTCTTTGACTTCTCTAACCGTTGCGTGGAAAGGGTCAAAGTATTTTGGGCTTGTCCGTCTTTCCGTTCATCTGTCTGTCCATCTGTTAATCTGACGCTCTGTTTGTCTGCCTCCCTGAGCCGTGAGCTTCATTTTCCTCCCAGTCGGGGACGCAGAGTAGCCTGTGATTATCTTTAAAAGCAGAGACACTGGAATGTTAATCCAGTCAGTTTACTTTTTCCTCACTCACTAGTTTCTTACTGATAAAAAAAATTAAATCAGTCTGGAGGGTTCAAGTTGAGTATGTGTGTAGATAGACTTTAATGTAAGGCAACATCTGTTTATAAGAAGCATAGCATGGAAGCAAGGAGGAGGATTTCTTCTTTACAGCTGGGGGCTTTACGACCAAATCCATAATCCTGTGCATCTTTCAGCCCCTCTGCACTGCAGGGAGTTTCCTGGAGTTTAGGAGTGTCTCAGTACGATCACCACTACCGAGAAATGACAAAAGAACAGGAGTCATATTACAGTAAAATAACATGAATTCCAAGGAGCATGTGTCACCTTTAATAGGTGTCTGATCACCTTTTTTTTTTCTTTTTTTACAAGAGGCCTGAAGGTAATTTACACAGACACAAAAGAGCAAACAGACAGGATTTCAGTGACAGAATTAATTTTAATTTTCTATAGGGTTCTCCACTGAGATTCCTTTGTTTAATTGGTTATAAATTACACGGGGGGGAGGAAGGCCCAGTTTACATTCTCCAAGACTGCACACGTGTCCCAACTCGTTCATAAATGTGTCTGATTGCTTTTTCTGACAACAATCACCAGCTGGAGGGTTTAAAGGTCATTCATTTAGCAGCACATCACTGGTGGTAACAGCGCAGTGTGAAGGCAGCAGACAGGAATCTGTGGGCAGCAGTGAGAGTCATGAGCGTCTCCCGCCTCTGCGTGTGTCACCGTCTGCGTCAGGACAGACAGGGGAGCCCAGAGAGGACCGAAGCGACGCAAGAGCGATCCCTGCAACGTGCGTACAGCTTTGTTGGGCATTTCTCTGCGATTAAAATGCTAAAAATGGCATTAAACTTGGTGCTTGAGCGCCGGTGAATGCTTTGAGAGGCTTCAGTTGAGGGTAAAAGTTGAAAATGGCTTCATTCTTATGCTGGCGTGTTTCAATTTTGTTGTTTTTTTCCTCTTACGGCAGGCTCCTCTAATTATAAAACGGTTAAAAGAGATGTAAAAGCGTCATAGTTGTTTAAATCGCTTACATAAACACATTGTCGATGTTTCACGAAGCTAAGTATTACACAGCTATGATAATGTTAGTTTATATCAGACTTTTTCGAAGATTAGCTAGCTAGCAGGACCAGTGTGCGCATGTGCAGTAAAACGGCTCAGTTCCGGGTTGTGAACTATCTTGTCGCTCGGCTTCGTGTCTTCGGCAGCTCCCAGCCAGTCCTCTCATGTTCACACTGGTACTACTGTGTAGCTGCACATAAACACAGGCGGACACACAATGCTCAGCTGGCTGGAGAGACGACAAGACCCGTAACTTCGTGTCAATTTCAGCCCCATTTTTGTCGTCAGCATGCTGCCTTTTACTTCTTGGTGAGTAACTCATTAAAACAACCACTGTCTGGGTCACTGTCAGTCATGTTTAGCGCGTTTTACTTGTATCACTTCGCTTTACGTTGAATTACGTACGTGTCGGTGAAATGGGGCTAATTACGGAGATGCTAATGTGTGAAATTCACACTGACACGCAGCTTAAAAGTAGTTTAACGTTTGAGAAAACTTGGACGACTCCGCGGTGTGAGCAGCAGGGGAAGTTTGCTCCGGTTTTAACTGTGTCTGTGCTGTAAAGAAAGCGGGGAACAGTGTTGTCATTGTGGCTGACATGACCGTCGTGAGTGTGTGTGTGTCTCCCTCCGCCAGAGGTGAAGAGGTCAGCTGCCTAATGACTGTTATTATGGCAAACAGGAAAGCAGTGCCGCACTGCTCCAATGAAAAGCCCGTGTGACATCCGCGTAACATTCCTGCAGGGATTTAAAGTGTGACTGCACACAATAGTGAAATTATTACTAACTTATAGTAGTTTGTTTCTGCTGTTTGACCACCCCAGAATAATATAAAACTACTAGAAAATGAAAATAATAATACAAAAAATATTGGCAAATATTTGCAAAATAATTGTATGTTTAAATGAATTATTATTAAAAAAAATTAAAGGGTGCAATTTTACAGTCACACACTGTAAAAGAAAAAGAGTACTATTTGTCAAAAGGGTTTTTTCATGTGGACATTATTTACACTTCAAAAAAAAATTAATTTACTGTCAGCATATATATCACTATTATTTTCTAGACTTTATCTGTAGTTTACTAGAACGGGGGAAATCTGTAAAATACCAGCTAATTTTTCCTTTTTAATTAAAAAATATATACATTTTTTTTAAATTAAAATAATGCTAAATATGTGGGAAAATAAATTTTTTTTAAAAGCCAATTATAATACAGTGAAAGTTGTGTAGTTTTATGGTCACACATTGTAAAAGAGCAACTCACTATTTGTACTTTTTTTCTTTTTTTTTTAATGTGGACATTATTTACAGTTTTGACCTTTGTTTTTATAGTTTTTCTTTTTTGACTGTCAGCATGAAAATTAGATTTTTCAAATGATTTTAGTAGATATTGTGTAATTTAACAAAATGGGGAAAAAATCTGTAAAATACTAGGTAATTTTTGTTTTTTTACGCAATTTTTCAGTTCCTGATATACATTTTTTTCTGGCAAATGTCTGCAAAATATTGACATTTTTTAGTATATTTAAAATTTATTAATGATTTAAATACAGATTTTTTAATGTGGATATAATTTACAGGAATTAACTCTGTTCTTACAGTTAGCCGGTAAATTAATAGTTTTTCTCTGTGATTTTTCTAATAATTTTACAAAACCGGGAATGCCTATAAAATAGCACTACATTTTTCAAAAAAATACTTTTAAATACCACCATTTTCTACAGTGTATTCCTAATTACTGCTGTGCATTAATACAGTATAGTCCCCCTCTTGCTTCACGTGAACGCGCACGTGCACTGTGCTGCTGCTGCTGCTGCTGCTGCTGCTTTGAACCTTTAAATTATTGATGTGGTCTCAGCGGATACCTCGATGTACAGTGAAGTCTTTCTACCCTGTCAGATATTAAATGTAATACATGTGATGTAATTGGGACAAGAGGCAGCTATAATAATACTGCACTGCAGTATTAATTAGAAATACTCTCTTTTTTTATTTTAGGAAACAGGCATGCAGATGTTTTTCAGAGGAGAGGCATTCTTTTACTTATTCCTGTGTGGCAGAGGGCTGTACTGTGTAAACAGTGTAATAGCACTAGAAGCTGAGCTGTCTCTTGTTTCACCTCTTATTTGCTGATGGATCCAGGAAGTTGCTCTCTCCGGCTGCACACACACACACTCAGCCTCACTGGTTTAAGGTATTTGCTTACCGCAGACAATCAGAAGCCCCTTGTGTTGTGGACTCTGATTGACTGCGTGTTAGTGCAGGCCAGTGGCAGAGTCCAGCCAGTCAGTGTGCACAGAGCTGCTCAGCGCTTTATATCTGCTTCTTTTCCGACAAGAAGATATGTCAATGTTTTACTTGGTGCATGCAAATGCTGAACTGTTTCAGTGGCTCGTGTTTGTTAAACGTTTCCTCCCCTTCTCTCTCTGGGGACTGGACAGAAAGTTCAGTCAGGTGCTGCTGGATCATAATGGTGTTTACACAAGGCTGTCACGATCGTGGCATTTCAGTTGATGATTAATTGTCTCACAAATAATTGTGTTTAGTGATTTAAGTGTCTCTTTCTGTTGATTTTACGCATCTGTTCGTCTTGGATTTCTGCTGAAAATCTGACAAGTTATTGGACTCTCCTTTCCATTTGGTTTAAATGTCTAATTATGTAAATATTAGAAGTTGATCAGCTTCTCAGGATAAACAATTGATGCAGTTAAACCACAGCAGAAGAAGAATGGAGCACAAATGTTGGAAAACAAAACCTGACATATTTGTTAGTTTCATTCAGCTGTGCTTTTTTAAAACAGGTGAATGGTTATGTAAAGTGGTCCGCTGAACGTCCTGCTATCAGCCAGTTATGTAATAATTGTGACAAGCCTATGTTTACAGCATGCTCAGGTTTAAGGCTTCCAAGTGTTGGAAATGAAGAACACAAGATGTTTTCAGATTGCAAATGAATGAGTTCTGTCATGATTACTCCTCATAAAACACCCAAACGAAACTGGAGATAAAACAAATGCATACAAAACTGATTGGCCACAGTCCTGATAATTCAATAATCTGAATTTATTTAAGCAAAAATTAAAAAAAAAAACTGTTCAACTCTTGCTTCAGTTGGGAAGATTTCCTGGTTTAGCTTGACTTCTGTGATATAAAACTGAATATTTTTGGGTTTGGGATTGTTGTTAAACATTACAACTTTGGTTTTAAGGAAATCATTCTGCGTGTTTTCACAGTTTTAGGGCATCAGTGGTCCAAGCCTATAAATCAAATAACTGATAAAATATTTAGTGAACATAAAGTAACCCCTAATTAAGCAATAAATCGGACGTTCCCGCTGTATAACTTCATTTTTGGAACATGCTGTGCTTAGCAGCTTGTATTTTAACCACAACTTGACACCACACTCCTTTTCAGCATTCCTCAGGAGTTTTGTAAACTCTTGCCAAGGTTTGTAACCCTCGAATTATTCATGTTGGGATTTATTTTCCATGTTCATATCCAGAAATAGCTCCCACTTGAACCACTACACCCCCGGCCCTTAGCCTACACCCATTGGACGGCCCGTTTCCACGTATTCTTCACAAAAAAACTCAAGGAATCATTGGAATGTTAATTACTCTGCGGGGAAAAGAAGAAGAAGAGCTGTTGATTTTTTTTTTTTTTTCTTTTAAACTCTCTCAAGTTCTCAGCTGGTTGTAAGCGAGAGCAGGATTTCAGTTCACATTCGTACACTTGTGGAACATCAGTTTGTTGGATAATCGCTATCAAGATGTAATTAGCCTAAACAAATTTGTGGCTTGAAACCGGCTCGACCAGCAGCGGGAGCAGCTTTCCACAGTAAAGAACTCTCAGCTGTCATTTTCAAAAGGTGCAGCGTACATTTGTTGTCTTTAACAGATGTGGGGACACTTCATACAGTATTAATTATCATCTTATGTTCTTGGGTTAGAAGTTCTGCTCTTTAGATAAAGCCATACATCCCATGACTTTCCCCTTTCAGGTTATCGATCTGAGAATTTATAGTGTCTTAGTTAATTAAACTGGTGTTCTTTCCTTTCTTTTCACACAGAATGTATCTCAGCCACCACAGCCAAACAATGAGGGGCATCCTTAAGAGAAAGTTCGCAGAGGTAGATGAAAATCCCGGCTACTCCTCCTCCTCCCCCTCCCCTCCGTCCTCCCTCTCCTCCCCTGCCTCCTCCGAGTGGGAGTCCGACGGGGAGGGCAGCTCGTCCGAGAACCAAGATTTCACACCTCACAGCCCTTCTTCACCCACCAGTTTGCCCAGTAAGTCACTCAAACCACCGTTTTATCCCCCTGCTTCTTTCACATAATGCAGACCTCTTCCTTATCTGCCCGTTTTCCCATCAGTGTTTTATAGGAGTGTCTCTTATCACTGTGCAGCAGCAGCAGCAGCAGCAGCACAGTTATGACCAACTGATATGAAAACGCTAACCTCAGGCTAGTTCCAGATAATATAAACACAAAGAATGACTTGCCTGTGTGTTCAGTTGTGCAGAAGATCATTTGCCTAAGCAATAGGAAGTTGTCGAATCAGTTTAAAATAGCAGGGGCTCCTTAAACAGGTCGTGTTGAATGTGTTTATTTCAATATCACAAAGTTGCACATCCCATCACAAGATATACATTCTGAGCTGTAAGGAAAACAACCCCCAAATAATCTTAAAAGGGTAAAAAAGGAACCCCAGGAGGAGCACCAGAATAGAAAACCTTGTCATCCATCTGTCTGTCCATCCATCCATTATCTATACACTACACTTAGAGACAGACAACCAAGCACACTCACATTCACACCTACGGACAATTTAGAATCACCAATTAACCTCAACATGTTTTTGGACCTTGTGGGAGGAAGCCGGAGAACCCAGAGAGAACCCATGCTGCACGGGGAGACTCCACGCAGAAACATCCCGGGTCTCCTCACTGGGACGCGAACCGGCGACCCTCTAGCTGCGAGGCAACGGTGCTAACCACCGCTCCAGAAAACATTGTCATTGTATCGTGTAAAATACAGCGAAAAACTAAAATAATAAATAGAGTAAATAAATGAAAAATGTTTAAATGTAACACTAGAGGTCACAGCTGCATCAGTACGAATGCTGATTATTACAGTGTAGTTATTGCGCTAGAAACCCATAAATTTATTACATAAGCAATACGCTGGCAGAGCGATTGAACTGTTGTATAAATAAATGAGGAGCAGATCTGCAGGATGTTGAGATACCTGGAAAGAGAACCGAACTACACCACCACACAAGAAGGCAAAACTGAAGTGCACCATATATGTGTGTAAAGGAAGCATAAGGAGAGAGAGAAAAACATGCACATGAGAGAATGTGAGAGAAGAGGAGAAGCAGAATGTCCCAGAGGGTAAAGATCCAGAATATCTGGAATGAGGCTCTGACAGCCAGAGCAGAGTGAAAGGTCCCAGGACAGCCAAAAGTCCAGCAGCAGCGGAGGGGGGAAAAAAAAAAAAAGGCTGAAAGAGAGACAGACACACAGTTTTAGACTCTCGTATGCAAACAAACAGAGAGTTAGAGGGATGTTTTCAGAAACTTTACAGTAATCTCGTCAGCAGGACAAACACGGTCTCTACTATAAGCACCAGGCTTAATAGAGTCACTGTGGAAGAGTTCAGACAAACAAAGCAGCTGAGACGAGCTTAGTCAGCTGGTCGCACTTGTTTACTGACTTTTGCAACCAGAGCTCAGCCTCAGTTATTTGTGAAGGTCAGACAATTTGTTGAAGCCAAACTGTTACAACCAAACGGTAATTTGATGGATATTCCAAACTAAACAGTCTAATTACAGTCTGGTGAACCTCGAAGTGACAGCAGGCAGACGCTGGTTTACTTCTCTCTCCCTCTCTGTGCTGCTGATCTGTCCATTGTTGCAGGAGACCCCCTTTCTTGGTATTTCCTTTGCACATGTATGTTCAACTATTGACCCTAGCAACTGTAGTGCGGCACCTGTGGTGTGTCCTCTAGTGGCCATGCAGAGACCTGCAAAGCCTGCGGCAGAGGTCAGGCACCAGGAATGACTTCTAGGAAATGTGCTTCAGGTTAAAGTAGGACTAAAGCACTCCCTGTGTACATCAAAATAGCCCTTTGTGTGTATTTGTGAAACTTCAAACTCAGACTTTCAGCGAGGAGGAGCACTTCTGGGAAAGTGTGAACATTTCTGTTTGAACCCTTTGAACTCCAAACAGTTTCTGGTTGCATATTTTGTTCCTGTCACGCTTTTATTTACTGTGGGCTCATTTTTCACTGCAAGCTAAAGTCCTGCTCTTCTATGGAAACAGAGGAACAATGGCTCGAAGTAAAGAGTACTCAGAAATGTCTTTAGTGCAGTATGACATACTTATAATGACATAAATCATAAAAAAAAAAGATTGTTGATTACTTATAAATAAAACAGAATAAACTAAAGTCAACATGTACAACAAAATCCCCAGAGGTTACCAGGACTGAAAGTTGAGATCTGATGATTCTTCCTGTTTTTACAGTTTGTGCCACTAATAAATGGTTCAATTTTGGACATTAAAAAAAAAAAAGAAAACATGCCTTTCAAACTTACCTGTAACATGAAGGGTTCAGATTTAAGACATTTAGGAGTGCAAACAAGACATTGCCATGACATAATGTCACTTTTCTGGTAGTTGCAATTTGAAAATGTTGAAAATAGCACTTCAGGATGTTTGTTTATACCTGAGTGACGAATTTAATGTTGAGAAATAAACCTTAAAGTTACAAAAACATCTCGTAAACATTAAGGCCCAGAATAACTTGAAATGAAAAGATTAAATACTGGAACCTTTTGTTAGATTTCTACTGTTTAAATAAGGAAATTTAAATGTTTTAGTCTGCTCGTTTGAAGCATTCTTTCAATTAGTAAAAAGGTTATTGTCATGTGGAATTCTTCTTTATAAATACACATCTAGAACCCAACTGCTCTGACCCACATGCTTATGTTTTACAGTATGTTGTTGTTGTCTTAAAGCACCTGATGCTCACTTTACAACTGGACTTATGTTTTTTCGTGTTTCTTTTTCACAACCAGTCCAGTCCATCCTCAAGAGGCCAAAGCTTGCAAGTGTGCAGAGCAACGTGCGCTTCGACCAGGTGACTGTGTTCAGCTTCCAGCGCTGCCAAGGCTTCACCAGCGTGCCCAGCCGTGGAGGTGCCACGCTGGGCATGGTGAGGAGGCACAGCGCCCTCCACAGGTACACGGTGGCAGAGCATGCGCTGGAACAACGGCACAGACGCAGAGAGAAGCTCAGAGAAAGGCTGAGAGAGGAACGGCTGGAGGCGCTGAAACACAAAGTAAGTGCGCTTGGTTTATTCTGCTTCTCACTGCTCCTCTGCGTGTCAGTCCTCTTACTTCAGCTGTTGTGTTGATTCCAGTTGCTCATCAGTGGGGCCATCGACCAGCGAGAGGCGGACAGGCTCACTGTGGATCAAGTCCCAGATAGCGACGCTGACATCCATGTTGGTGACGCTGAGCTGGACGATCGAGGTTTCCTGCAGCCGTTCTCCTCCAAACAGCGACAAGCTCTCCTGCAGGCAGCAGGGGTGAAGCACGTGGACAGGGAGGAGAAGAGGCAGCTTCACGACTTGAGACTCTCCAGAGAGGCCTGTGGATGTGACTGTCAGGGCTTCTGTGAACCAGAGACCTGCGCATGTAGTCTGGCAGGCATCAAGTGCCAGGTACCACACTTGTATAAAGTTAATCTGGCCATGATACCGTCGTCCTCAGATGTATTCATCCCCCTCCACTAAAGAAAAGGCAAAATTCACAATAGTCACTCAAATAACTAGAAACTGGAAAAAGTAATAATAAATAAAAAATTTGCTAAATTATAATTTTGTGAAATAAGACGATGCTTTTGAATTGTGTTTGAAAAGAATAATTTAAAAAATACATGAAAAAAAACAGTCCCGGACAAATTAGAGCACTTTGCTGATGAGCAGTGAAATCAGAACACCTGTCAACAGGTGCAGAAGTCTGACTGAGAGTTACAGAAAGCACCTGATGGCAGTGATTGGCTCAAAGGGTTGTTCAACTAAATATTAGTTTATGGGTCCCATCATGCTTGTTTTTAAAAAATATATATATTTCCGTTGAACCACAATTCAAAAGCAATGTCATGATTGTCATAAAAGTTTTATTTATTATTACTTTTGTCAATTTCAGCTGATTTCAGTGACAGCTGTTCTTTTCCTTTTTTAACGGGAGGGTATGAACACATTTGAACATGGCTTTAAGTTACTCTAGCACACCTTTCAGGGATTTAATGTTTTATTTTCAACATCTAAAATTTGGACATTTTTAAATGTGAAACTGTAGTTCGAGGTGATTTACATCTTATATGCATCAGTCACATGTTGAGGGAGGGAAGTAACATTTACATTTGATGCTTTGTGGTTTGCAGCATGACCCAGTTTGTACTGTGGGAAACTTTCTCCAACAATTGAGACGTGACTATACAGTTTATTTACTGTAACACACAGATATCCACATTACTATTATTACTTTTAGCTAATCTTTTCAGTTTGCCAAAAAGTGACATTCCTGTCTGCTTATTTGAACAATTTCTCGACTTATTGTCCTGAATATTTTAACAGGCTGTCATGAGGTAGAATTCGATGCTCTATAATTAAAGGTTCTTTCTGTATAACCTACATGAATGTGCATCCCCATTTCCATGTGTATTGCTGTAACAAGCAGCTAATCAAGAGCCTGTTTGGTGGAACTGGTGAACATTCACTGGTATTTTGTGGAGTTCCTTTTTATTTATCAACCAGAAACACATTTCAGTTGTCTTTCAGTAATTCTTAAATTCAGACCCTGTTGTCGGCACTCGTACCTGTTTCTGTGTAGATTCTCATTTTCTCCCCTGACTCTCTTTGCCACACAGGTGGACCGCTTCAACTTCCCATGCGGCTGCACCAAGGACAGCTGTGGAAACACTCAGGGACGCATCGAGTTCGACTCTAGGCGTGTTCAGACACATTACATCCACACGGTCATGAGACTCGAACTGGAGAGGCGACTGCAAGATGAAACGCTCAGCACGGAGGAGCAGACGGGACTTCCAGAGGAGCTTCAGGAGTATGAGGAGCAGGATGAGATGCACCTGGAGCAGAGTGCACAGGACAAGAGCTGTCCATTTGGGTTTACCTTGGAGGAGGACGGCCTTCCTGTCACCATGCCCACCACTCCCTCATTCCATTTCATCCCAGAGCGGTTGGTGGTCGAGGAGAACAGCTGCAGCAGCGACATGACTGAATCCTCCTGTTCCTCCTCTGACTCTGAGTCTGGAGGATGCCTCAGCGGGAGTCCAAATCTCCCTGAAGTTGATGGAGGCTTGACCTGTGCTCTTAGTCTCTGTGAAAATGATAACTGCTCTTCTTCGTGCAGCCAGCTGAGGCACACAGAACCACTGACGCTTCACAGCAACAGCTCGGCAACTCACAGCACAACTACTGACAGTGTGGGACCACGTACAGCCAACACACTCACTGACAATATCAGCAGGACCTCAGTCACAGATTACCTTGATGAAAATGCAAATCAAGCCAGAGACATCTTCGAAGATGGCTCTCTTGAGGGCTTCCCCAACACCCCCTCCCCCACCGTGGACTATTCTTTAGGCGGATACATGGACCTGAGTCTCTCCTCCGACTCCGACCTGGAGTTCTTCGACAGCGACTACCCGTCTGGACCACTGCACAGCTCTTTCAAAGGACACAGACACCCAGACAGTTTCCGCCACTTGCAGCTGTGCAGCTCTGTTAATCTGCCACAGTACGAGTCGAGCACCCACCTCCTGGAGTCCCTGATCGGCCTGACTGACCCGAGCACAGAGCAGATATCCAGCTTTTTATAGCTGATTTAAGGAATCCTTGTGATATAAAGAGAAGCTGTGTGAGAGAATACGATGTAAAGAGCACTGCTTTTATGTATTTGTAATAATAATTCAGTGTACAATGAATGATTGATAACATATTTTTGTCTAGCTGGATATTTTTTCTATTGCCTAAAAATGATTTGCCTTTCTTTCAGAGAAACCACACTTGAGTAATTAATATATGTCTTGTTTTTTATTTACTAAACCTAAACAATGATCTCTGACGTGCTATTTAATTCTTTTTTTCCTCATGACAATGTTTTAATCTGATGGATGGAGGGTATAAAATGTCATGTCGGTTTTAAATGTCATGTTATCCAAAGTCAAGTAAAGGAAGAGCCAATGCAGAGTTACCATTTCTAGAGCATATTGTTGAAAGATATCAATAAAAACACCTGTATTCTGCTGGAAGGTAACGACATGTAAGCAGGTTAATCCACTTTAACTCCAGCCTCCAGGTTGTGAAGGATTTATATTGACTGCCAGGTTCGCTGTGGATTATCTCTTATGTGCTTAACAGTATGTTTAGAATATCTCTGTGTTGGAGTAACAAAATAAAACTTTTTTTATTTATTTAATCACTGGTTTCATATTCGTTTGGTAATTGGGCTGCAAGGTGGAACGATGGCTAGCACCGTCGCCTCGCAGCAAGATCGCCGGTTCGCGTCCCAGTGAGGACACCCGGGATCTTTCTGCGTGGAGTTTGCATGTTCTCCCCTTGCAGCGTGGGTTCTCTCCGGGTTCTCCGACTTCCTCCCACAGTCCAAAAGCATGTTGAGGTTAATTGGTGATTGTAAATTGTCCGTAGGTGTAAATGTGAGTGTTCTTGGTTGTCTGTCTCTAAGTGTAGCCCTGTGATAGACTGGTTACCTGTCCAGGTGAACCTGCCTTCACCCTGAGTCAGCTGGGATAGACTCTAGCCCCCCATGACCCTAGTGAGGATTAAGCGGTGTATAGATAATGGATGGATGAATATCAAATATTGATTCTTAGAGAGACTGGGAAGACATGAAGTAGTTGGAACATGAGTAAAGCTTTATTTGCTTTACATTCAGTGGCTGTATGATAATAATTTCATGAAAGTGGCTCATGATCCTCTGATGGCTGAGCTGGGAAGTAGATCTCAAAGTTTTCTTTTGGCTTCTGTTATTATACACAAGTATTATTCGTTTCAATCTCTAGTATCTGACTTGTTCTAGTGTAGGTATGTCTGATGATGTGATTTCATTAGAATTGAAAGACTGGCCCAAAACAAACATAGTGTGTTTGACAGGTAAGTGTTAATAGCTGGAATGTGTACATTTGAAAAGCTTTTTACTTTTTTTGTTTTTTCACCAGTGAGCCATCACAATAATAATATATTAGAATATTTCTGGGTCCTGCTACCCCTCTATGACAGTAATCTTAACATGTTTGCAGTGTGAACAAATAAGACATTTGTTTTGCAGTTTCCCCCTTTTTCTGACATTTAATAGGCCAACCAATCGATTAGAAAATAATCAACAGATTAATTGAGAATGGAAGTAATTGTTACTTGCAGTCCTAAGTTATAATAATATGTTAATTGCACTGTATGAGGAACTTGATGTTCTAGCAAAAATTCAATATAACAGTGCAGCAGATTGTTTTTATTTTTCATTATGGATAAAGTACTAGAGTACTTTATCACAATAATGATGACTTAAAGTATGACAGCTAGTCTGCATTAGCAATAGCAAGACCCAAGAGCTGGATCACATAAATAGATGCAGTTGTTTTTGATAAAGGGCAGGCTTTCTTTGTCAGGGCAAGTCAAAATTATCTGCTATGAAAAAGCTTTTTTTCAGTACACGAAATAGCGCATATTTCTGCATAGATGTCATGGATGTTGTTAGCAGTAGCCTCATTAGCGCAGCTTCTTTATATAATACTGGCAGAAAAACACGAAGCAGCTCTTAAACCATTTAAAAATAACAACAAAATAATTATTAAAATATTTCACATTTAAAATATTCAATAGTTGTGCAAATATTATAGATTATAAAATGATTATTAATATAAATTTTGCTAGCAAAGAGGTGTGCGCATGCGTCCGTGTCCCTGCTCGACGGCAGCGATGCTCGATTGTTTTGGGCTTCAGACAAGATGGCTGCGATGTGTCAACCGTGATAATTCTGAGCGGTTATTTTGTTATAACAATAATATTTAAGTGTTCCCGGCAGAAATGGGTTTATCTCAGAGCTCAGAGGCATCCGAGGGAGGGACGTATGGATACCATGTCCACGGGGTAAGACTTCTGAATTTAGTCCGCTTGTTTTGAAAGTGGAACAGCGTGTTCAGCAGCTTATCATGACATGTTAGTGAATGCTAACCGACGGCTAGCTCAGTGGTCACGGCAGACCCGCCGGTAAGACCTGATGAGGTGGCACTGTGTACCCGCTGTCTCTACTGGACAGTGGTATGCGACAGAGAAATGAGTTTATTCACTGAATTCGTGAGAAATTCGCTTGAATTGCAGCTTGTAAGTTGCCTGGAGGAAAGTCTTGCAGCAGCACCGAGTCCACTAAGCTTCTGCAGTTCTAAACGTGAATCTGTAGTCATATCGAGACTAAATAATTCTCGGAAAGAGGACTATTTTAAAGAGATGAAGGTTCACTAAACGTCGATGAATCACTTCACTTCAACGTTGTCATGCTGTAGCAAGATTTCGAACAAGTGTGTGCTTGATTAAATTGGATTGGTGCTGAAATGATTAGTCAATTGCCTGATAAATCGATCATGAGAGATCAAACATTCAGTGGTTCAAGATTTCCTGCTTCTCTCTGCTTTGAGTTTTGGACTTTTTGTCAGTCAAAATGGTTAATTTTTAAGTTACACAGCCCCTGGAGACTAAACTATTAAGCAAATATGTGGAAGTGAATTCATAATAACAACTGGTAGTAAGTGCAAAGAGCTGTGATTTAGATCCTCTACAGATGTGCTGGCAATTATTTTATTTTTCCAGATAATGTAGCATAACTGTATGCAAAGATGGTGCTTCATAAGTTATATCATGTTTCTTGTGTTGTTTTTGACAGGTGCAGCCAAATTCTCCTGCAGAAGGTGCCGGACTGCAGCCCTTCTTTGACTTCATTCTGTCTCTTGACTACAAAAGACTCGTAAGTTTACTGATAATCACATAATGAGAATTTACTAGTCATCAACCATCAATTGGTCATAAGTAAACTGTGAAGGAATGTGAAAACAGAAAGTTAACACATGAGTTATTACTAGATTTAAAACATTTTAAGCTCTTTTCGTTACTGTTTGCCAGAATGAGGAAAACGACCTGTTAAAGGAGCTCCTGAAAGCTAACATGGAGAAACCGGTGAAGATGGAGGTGTACAGCACCAAGACCACAAGGGTCCGCGAGCTGGAGGTGGTGCCCAGCAACATGTGGGGAGGTCAGGGTCTGCTGGGGGCCAGTGTTCGCTTCTGCAGCTACCAAGGAGCCAATGAGAACGTTTGGCACGTGCTGGTGAGTAGCATCGTGGAGGAACGATGAAAACCGATTGGCTTGTGCGTGATATCAGACTTGTTTCATGAAGCCTCTCTCTCTCGTAGGACGTGGAGCCCAGTTCGCCGGCTGCTCTGGCAGGACTTCAGCCTCACAGTGACTACATTGTTGGAGCAGACCAGGTGTTGCAAGATGTAAGACTTGTTTTAAAATCCCCGAGTTCATTACATGTTTTGTTCAATACTTGATCATATTTAGTGTATTACTCGTGCATGAGGGAATAACTATTTAAAAGTCTGTAGTTAATTTAGGGCGCCACCATAGCTCACCTGGTTGAGCTGGCGTCCCATGTATGGGGCTATAGTCCCCAATGCAGTGGTCATGGGTTCAAGTCCTGCTCACGACCCTTTGCTGCAGGTCCTTCCTCCATTGTTGTACCCCACTTTCCTGTCTCTCTCTCTGTCCTATCTAATAAAGCCGAAAGAGGCCAAAAAATATCTTAGAAAAAAAAGGCTGTAGTTAATTCAAAGTTTCTTATTTGCAGTCTGAAGACTTCTTCTCGCTGATTGAAGCCCATGAAGGGAAACCCCTGAAGCTGCTGGTGTACAACACACAAACAGATGTCTGCAGAGAGGTGGTGGTGACACCCAACGGAGCGTGGGGAGGAGAGGGCAGGTACAGAACAACACAAACACTGTTCATACCAATACATTTAACCTCCAATGGGTTCATACCTGTCCTTCATTTTACTTTGCATTTGGAACATTCTTCCTCCACTGGTGTTAACATTTTATTATTAGACAACTAACGCCACTCTTTTGGCTTGAGTTAAAAGCCACATAAAGAGAAAGGTACATGCAGATGGATTCTTTTCTATCAAACTAATCCTGTTAAACCTGCTAGTGGTAGACAAACTCCTTACTGGACGTCTGTGCTGTTACAAGTTGTACAGCATGAATTAATGTCTTATAATGTGCAAACTGTCAATCATTAGTCTCCAAACCTACACTGGCTCCCCATCAAAGAGCCTTTTTAAAATCCTCCTCCTCACCCACAAAGCCCTCCACAACCAGCCTGCTCCTACTTCACCAGCCCGCTCCACCACTACACCCCCTCTCGTAACCTCCGATCTTCTGATGCCCACCTCTCCACACCACCTGACACCAAGCACTGAACCAGGGGGGACAGAGCTTTCTCTGACGCTGCCCCCCACCCTCTGGAACTCCTTGCTTTTAAATGCACTCAATGCTTTTTGCTTCCTGCTGTTGTTTTTTTTTTGCATGTTGTTTTTATTCACTGTGCAGCGTCTTTGGAAAAGCGCTTTATAAATAAAATGTATTATTATTATTATTATAACTGAACTCACACCGACTGAAATGTTTGTTCTTAGTTTGGGTTGCGGCATCGGTTATGGCTACCTGCACCGAATCCCTGCAAACCTGGAAGTATCGCCCGTGAAGCCTCCCACCCCGGTCCCAGAGGAGGAACCTTCTCCAGAGCTGCCCACACATGGATACACGGAGGTAAAGGTTTCAATTAGTAGCTGTGTTCCCGTATCGTGTATTATACGCACATTACAAAGTATCGCTGTAGATAAAGGTAACAGAAATGGCATTGACGTCCTCAGGTTTGCCAAGAAGTTTTTACACTTGGTGGTTTTTGACTTCTTTTAGAGGAGTTAATACACATCACAGGAGACGGAAACATCTTTTCTGAATGAGTTCTGATTTACCCAACATTTAACTCAATCAGCTGTTTCTGCTTCTTGCGTTTTTTGGGGGGGTTTTTTAGACTCTGCACACTTTTTTATTCACGTTTCTGTGCTGAACCTTCACCGAACAAATATTTTCGTACCAAGAGAAGCAATGTGGGTCATTCCTTCTTGAATGATCCAAATCTGGTAAAAGTTTCCCCCTCTGAAAGCATTCAGACTGTGAATATTTCCAGAGTTCCAGGCCCTTGAAGTCCATATTTGATCTGTAGGTTGTGACACCTGGATGGATGTAGAACTGATCTGGTGTCAGTTTCTACCAGAACTCAGATGTGTTCTTCCTCATGTGTCTATCTGGTGTACTGATGAAGTTCTGAGGCTCAGAAATGATGGAAAAAGTCCATTAAAGTGATAAATCTGGAGCCTCCTCTCTGGACTTCACGGGCCTGGAACTCCTCAAACAAGTTAAATTAGCCGCATGTTAGCCCAAACAAGTAACATTAGCAGCTCTGTTAGCCCAAATACAACGTTAATTTCTTCTTTTCTGCTTCTTTCGCTGACGTCATGTCCAGACAGCGTGATACATGTCCAGTACCAGCTGACATGAAAGAATGATTACAACTGTCTGGAATGAAAACAACTCCTGAAGACTTGTCGCTATTTTTCTGTCATCAGTGGCCAAAGTTTTGTTTGTTTCTTCTTCTTTTTTTTTTTTTTAGCCATTTACAAACATCAGTTTTGGGTATTTTTGGGCTTCTACTACTTTGTTTGTTCCAACTATTTGTAATGTAGCCTGTCGTGCAGACACTATGCAGCCTCGTGTTTTCCCTCCAAAGCATCTCAAACAAGTCACATCTGCATTTCTTTTATTTCTTGCAACATTTTCAAAAGTTCACTTCAAATTGACAGTTACATGGAAAACAAACAAAACAAAGCAAATTCTATCATTTGAGAAGCTGGAGATGTTCACCATCTATCTTGTGTTTGCTTCCAGACCCCTCTGATGGCAGCTTCAAGCCAGAGTGAAGACTTGTTAGACCTGGAGCAGGTCACCCTGGAGGAGGCTCCGTTACCTCCACCCATCCAGAGAGTCATGGACCCCGGTCAGTTCAGACACTGTTTCCAGTAGTTTTATAGGACGAAGGCCGTGGTCTCCTCAGTGTCTCACTGTGTTCATGAAAATCTTGTGTTTTTTTTATTTTTTTTTAGGGTTTTCTGATTCTGAAGTGGCAGCGATGAGCCCCGATCCTGCAGATTTGGTGGACAGGCTGGATCTGTCCATGTCCTCCATCGACATGACCAACACGTCACTGGCTATGCACGAAGAGAAGGACAGCGAATTATCTGGTGTTGGTGAGTTGACGTGGTAGCACTTCCCAGCAGGGTCCAGGGTCCTGCCTTAACTGATAATCTGCCCTGTTATTAGTTATCAATTAATTGATCAAATGAATGAAATCCAGTTGATGTTTTTAGTATCCTGATGAAACCGGTTATTATCTCCTGATTGTGTTCACTGAATAACTAAAAGAAGAAAAAAAGTGAACACTAGGTTCCTAATTTAAAAATGAATTGCCGAAAAGAACAATTTAAAATCTCTTCACAGCGGTTTGATATCAAATAATTGTTGTACCTGATCTACACAACAAAGCTACTTGTTCCCTTTGCTGCTGATGTCCACAAATACTGTCGCAGTGACTCCATTAGTCCAGTTAATGTGTCACTGTTTACTGCCACCACTAACTTGTATTTATACTCATGCATTTTAACTGAAAACATGATCTTTTCCTAAAATTCAGAAAGTAGTTTTGGTGCCGAAACTGAACCGAACAGGGAGTGAAAACTAGGCTCACATTTAAAGACAAAAAACACATCTGACATGAAACCCAGGCCTCAGTCTCTTGAGTGAAGGTCCTCCGACTTACACTCCTCCACCCCAACCAATCTCCTTATGTCAGCGTCCAGTATCGACACAGGTAGCATAAACGTCAAAGGACGCATCATCTGGCAGCTTTGGCAAACTGCAGTACTTGACACCTGAGGAATACGAACGAGTTCATTGATCAGGCAAAAAGAAATAAGTTGTGTGTTCATGCAGTTCTCTCTGCCGTTAATCCTGACTGTATCTGATGTCCTGTTGTGCAGAGGAGCTGGAGGACAGCGTCCTGCTCTCATCATCAGACCAGACTGAGCCACAAGAGCTGAGCTCCCTGGCAGCCCTGGACCTCACCTCGACCCTCGCTCCCACTGAGACTCTGTCTGATTCAGGCGACCCACCAGCCGAACCATCCGACCTGCTCGCCGAGTCCTCAGACCTGCAAAGCTTCCACATTGAGTCTAGCAATAGCCAAAGTCCACCTCCGGGTGACACGTCACTTCCTGTAGAGTCTCTTGACCCTCCAGCTGAAGACCTCCCCGACCCATCTCCCATTGATCTCATCCCATCCCCAGCTGCTGACGAGTCGGCTGCAGAATATTCTCTCCCTCAAGCCGTCGAGGAGGCTCAGGGGTCGGCGGAGGAGTCGGCAGAGCCTGTAGAGGAGGCTCACCAGTGTGACCACGATGAAGAAGATCCAGAGGAGGAAGTGCAGGATTCACATTTTGAGTAAGCTTGCATCAGGCCATTCAGGAAGTACAACAAGTGAAGCTGACAATCACTACATAGGCGAGACGGGAGGGAAGACGTGCTCCGTCTCACGTTATCTTGCATTATCAGACTAGTTACACTACAGGGACTAGTTACAGCGTTGACATGGAAGAAGAAAAACACTTCCAGGCGGCGCTGTAGTAACATCTGGTTCACTTTACATGCGAGAATTCACAGTTACTGATTAATCGTGAGCCAAAAAGGTCATCATGTTCTTGCTAAATTAGATTTTACGGGTAATTACAGGTTGTTTCTGGTACACTAATGTGATACATACTTGAACACTTCCAAAGATAAATACTTTAATTTGCACCTTCGTACCCAGAACACTACCAGAGGTTTTGAAACTACTCGGCTGTTGGCAGTTTAAAGCTGTCACGGTCGTCGCAGCGGTGCAGTTTTACGTCATTATTTAAACGATAATTACTCCATTAATTATGAAACGCAGGGCACTTTTACAGTCGTTTATATCCCCTGCATTGGATTTTTAAAGGGCTTTTTTTTTGTGGAATGAGGGAAACGTTTGTCCACTTGTGCTGAGTTTAAAAGGTCTTTTTACACCAGATTTGTCGAGCATGTTTTAAACACTGTTTTTATTTAGACCGTGATCCTTTTACTGCTGTATGGTTAGATTTACATCCCCGTGTCTCCTCACCATGATCTTCCCCTTTGTAATTTCTGTGATCTATGCAACACTAGCCGCTCGCGAGCCGATAGTGATGTGAATCCAATAGAGGAGAAGCGTTGGGTAACATAGCGAGACTCTGGCTGAGTAGCGGTCGTTCTTTCTAGGGGGTGTCTTTAATGTTTTTTTTATCGTCAACGTAGGTGCTCGTGTGTAAAAAATAATGAAAAGTATTTTTGCAGATATTTTATCAATGGATTGTATGTTTTATTAGGAATGAGTGCAGAGTCTTTTGATGAATGTGAAATGGGTGAATCTTCGATGGTTAAACAATCACTTGACTTTAAAAAAAAAAACCAAAAAAAAGACTCGTCCCTTGTTTTTCTTATTCCACACTCATCAGCTGAACACGTTTACAACATCCACGTATGATCCCCGTAAATCTGTCTCTGTTAAACCATTCCAATTTATTTCTTTTAATGCCTAAAATATACATATTTCACAAATTATTACAACAAGGGATATTGCAGAGTTATGGCCTAATTATCCTGCTTTTGGCCAATTAGTGCTCACTCGATGCCTCCCCTCCCCCTCCCCCTCCCCACTATGGCGTTACACACACTCGGCATGGCAAAAAAAATAAAAAAATCAACTCCAGAGAATTTACAATGAAAAGATGTTTTGTTCTGCTGCTTGGTGGCACACCAAGAGAGAAATAGATGTTAGCGTTTATTTCACTTTGGTGAGTTTCCCACAGTGGTTGAATGTTCATATATTCTCCCCTTCAAGTTATACTGAACTTCCTATTGAATCTAAATGAAATATACATTAGGAACAGCCCTCACTGTCATCAAAGTCACTGCTCATGAGCCAAACACAGAGCATGTAAGCATGAGTTATTGTTAAAGATATATACCTTATATATAATTTTCCCCCGATTGCTAAGATGACTTGGACGACTACTAACATTTTTCAGACTAAACTGCGACTTCTGGGTTGCAGTGAATACGACAAAATGCAAATTTTTATAACATCCGAGTCAAATAACCTCCATGGACCATGAATGTGCTCTAGGTAGGGATTTGGAAAAATAACTGTTGGTTGTTGTTTTTTTTAAGTAAACTGTACAAGAACAAAATAAAACTGCTGCAAAGTCATTTAAATCAAAAAAAAATGAAAAAAAAGTTGTACACGTATTTACAAAAAAAATTTAAACATTCATTCCATTGAGAACAGCACAGCTAAAAAATGAAAGACAAATACAAGTGCTTCTGTCGACGAGGTTCAAGCTCTGCGATAATTAGATGTTCAAGTTAAGATGTGGACAACAGAACGGACGAGGGTTTCGATTTGAGGGGCCTGTGACGCTACCCGGAAGAGACCAAGTGTGCTCCTACGAGACAGGTGCAGAGTGTTTGTAGAGCGAGGACAGTTTCTGGAATGTACTAGAACAAACAGTCTACTACATCCATGTGCACACACACACACTCAGACACAAACACGAACTTCAGTCGCTTCAAAATAAAATGCCAATCAAGAGGGGAGGGAAGAAAAAATAAACAGCAGTCAAAGATCTTTAAAAAAAAAAAAAAAAAAGTGGAGACCTGGAGGAAACAGAGTCCGTTCTTGAAACTGTAAAAAAAGAAAAAAAAGAAGAAGACAACAGTATGGACCACTGATCTCCCAGGTGTCTGCTGTTGGCTGCGCCGCCGGCCTGTTCTGCTCAGTTCCCTATGATACACCACGAGCCACCTCCTCACAAAAATTTTCACTGGGTTCTCATTGATTCTGCGACTCTCGACCACACGACGGGGTTTTAGGGGACTACATGTCAGAGGTGGGTGGTGGTGATTGGCAAATGACAAAGAGTTCTGGTTTTTTAAAAAGTAGGACTTTCACGTGGACTTCTGCCTATAGTGAAGCGTCAAGTCCCCGCCGCTCTTCCAGATAAAATGTTTAACTGTTCGCAGGTCCATGTTGGGATCTAGAACCTGGATGGAGAGAAGAAACAAACGGGTCAGCAAAATGAAGGACGAAGCTGTGCTACTGACAGGACGGATCCATAAAGGTTTGACATGTTTAAAGGGGAATAGACAGTATTGTGAACAGTTTATAAAAAGGAAAAGTTTTGCTCAAATGTTTAAATCTGCAAGTTTGGTGCATTGAAGTGAGGAGGAGACGTCTCGCTCAAAACTGATTTTGACAAACAGTCTTTACAGATGTGCATTCTAAAACTGCATCCATTACTTTAGTTGGAAATGATGACGTACAGGAAACATTTAAACTGACAGATATCAACATAAAACTTGGCGAGCTCATTACCTATGTTGAAACAATTATTTTCTATATTTCAAGTTGAAATTGTAGTTTTTAAAATGCAAATGAGAGATCATCATTATCATCCAGCAGCAGGTTTGAAAGG